CCCCAAAACCCCAAAACCCCAAAACCCCAAATATCTATTACTTTGTTGAAAATTATTTTGAATATCTTTAATAGTACAGTCATCAGTCTGGTTTATTGGAGTATCATTCGAGTCTGTCTAATAAATTCTGGTTGTCTTTCTTAAAGCTGAATTGGATATATTTATTGTCATTTGAACTAGGATTATTTCCTTTTATATAGATGTAGTTCCTGCATACTTAAATCTGATCTCATTATTATGCTCTTCAGGCTTGATTCTAATTAAAATAGAATGATGCTTGAAGTAATTTGAAGTAATTTTATCCTTGAACAGGGCCAATGTTCTTTGGTCTATCTTCTCATCAACTTTAGTGAGGTTATCTTCACGGAACCTACTATATTCATCAGCTGTCATTCCTCCCATGATTGGATTAGCATTATCTCTGTAAAGGTTAACAAATAACGAATCTGTTGCATCAGAGATTCTTGCTGTAAGCATATAAATATACTGTCCTCCTTTTTCAAGAGATTTTGCTCATTTTTCACAGTAGAAATGGCCTTCATAATCTTGGTATACCTTTCTATATCAATCTGGACAGCCAAGGTAGGTAGCCTTTTCATCGGCTTTAATATATGATACATAGCCGTTAATTACGTAGAAGTTAGAGCTGATGTCCATACCGTATTGAGGAGCCATTTCCACTAAATTCTTTATCTCTGCGATCGTCCTGACATTCTGAGAACTCCTTTTGTCAAAATCGCTTCTGCTCTCAGTGAGGGATTTGAAATTAGCTTTCTCTTGGATTTCTCCATACCACTTTTTAAGGCTATTTAGTTTCTTTGGAGATAGGATTTGTGGTAGTGGTGGTATCTGAACTGGTGTTGAGAGATTTACCGTTGTAATCACTTATTTTCAGGGAGGTAAATGAAACTATATCTCCAACTTGGATATTAAGTTTCCTAGATTTTTCACCCCAGTAACAAATTTTAATGGAGCACCCCTCGTGGTTATCTGAGTTATCTGCGATTTCTATCATTCTTTTACTTTTCTCTCCACCTGATCTGAGTCTGATAGTCTCCAAGTCTGAGTATTCAAGGATAACGCCTATTACGTTAATTCAGCTCCCACTCTCGATGGCTTGGATAGTACTAATTGGGGTATAGCTCACTTGTGGAGAGGAGATGGATCCGTCATCTTCAACTCGTTCTATTTCGGCCTCAGTCCCAAAGTTTATACAGAAGTCATTTGGAATAGTAGAAAACTTCTTATTAGCATTTTTGATGGATCCGTTGGAGAAGGTATACACAGACCCTTCCTCAAGTATCGGCTCAAACTTGTCAACTGCCTCTTTGAAGAAAGTTGCCTGAATCATATCGCCTTTGAAATCGATTAGATTTATGTTGAGAAGGTATCCCTCTCCTCTAGCATTATTCCATCTTTTTATCTCTCCTTTCATGTTTACTTTGGCTTTGATCTTCCATTCCGGAACAAAGGAGTTGAGAGCTTTTATAGGCATGAAGCTATTCTGGTCGTTCAAAGCGCCACTCGGAAGAGATGGCACTTCAAAGTGATCATCTGTTTGGGCGTCTTCCATCTGGTCATATTTAGATAAGATTTCTTCAGGAATGGAAATATCTATTTTATCATTTTCCAATGAGTTTGATTTAAGGTTGTTGCTGTAATCATGAGGCCGACCTATCTTTCTCCTAAGACCAGTGTAAACAAGGATTGGAACATCTAATCAAAAGAGGTATGGTTTTGTTGCATTGAGCTTCTTTGCAACTCTCTTGATGTATACAATATCATGGACTTTAATCATACTGGAGTTCCCTTTGTTCTTGTTATATCTCTTTCTGTCGAGAAAGACGATGGAGGAAGAGATTCCATCTGAAAGTATAAACCTAGAGCTAATATCAAATTGACTTACTTCTGTTTGACTGATTTATTCTTCTCACTTTCTTCGTACATTCTAAGCTGAAGTACTTGGAGGTAGATCTTCTCTTCATTTCTTTCTTCATCTTTGTTTTCCATTTCATAAATTTTCTGAATTCCTCCTCTGGTAAGGGAGGTCACCTTCTCTGGAGAGCATTTTTCCATCTAAGATTTTCTAAACTATATTACAGAACTTGGGTCAAATTAATGTGGAATTTATAGAGCTGGTTCGATCAATAGTGGGATAATAATATCTTCTGATGCACACATATTCTCTATTCTACTAGTGTTTTCTGTATCTTTGATGATATCCAAGATATTTTTGGATATCTCAGATTCATTTCTTGTTGAGATATTATTCTCAAAAGCTTTATTTCAATAAATATTGGACTGAAAGGGGTTTTGGGGTTTTGGGGTTTTGGGG